GCTGGTAGAACATGTTGCCTCATTTTGTTCCAACCAAAAAAACTATACACTTATTTCCATGTAAACGGGGAAAACGGACGTTGAAAAATCCTAATGTACATTCAAAAACATAATGTTCGATAATTTTTCGTTTGAGATCACATTTTTGCTTTCCAAGAATTGGTGATAAAAATGAACCATCTGTAAAATAAAATTTCGAAATTAAAAGATGCTAAAGCGTGCTTCTGAAATCTTAGTGTTTGGACAATACGAATTATAGTACTATTTTCAAGTTGATATTTCAAATCATATAAATCTTATTGACACAATGTAGAAACTACATCAGTCAGATAGTTGTAATGTGGAATCTAAAAGGGGTATTTCAAACTTAGGTATGCACATGCCATAATAACTATTACAGTAGATCTCTGAATACATAAAGTTGTACGATTTTAACACTAAACCATAAAGCTAAAAGTTGATTTACAGGGACCGATTCACCATCCGTTTGACCAATAATACCTTAGTCCCAGAAATGGGATTTTTTTTTAGATAAGCTAATCAGAAATAGTGTTTACAGATCACCTTGGCAATTTGAGCCTTCAAATGCATGTGTGTACAGAATTATCCGCGTTTGAATGTTAAAATGACGACAAGTCTTTTTCCTTTACTCTATCATAATATGTAGGAAAGACATAGATAGAAATAAAATGTTAATTTCCTAGATGGAGTTATTTTTGAAGGAAATATAATTTTGAATATGAATTGAATTGAAATAAAAAAAAGTAGCCCAACTCATAAAATCTATAACATTAATATTCTTAATTCCTTTTGTCTTTGGTGTGCGTTTCAATAACTGTTCCAATTTTGGTGAAATTCTACTAGAAATTGAAACCTTATATTGAGCAATATAATGAAATTTTTTAACAAAATGTACTTAAAACTTTTATTAAAATTTCTAGTCAAAAAGCATTCTAAATGCCATCAAAATCCGTAGTTTACTTTACGTACAAAAACCAAACTACAGTCAAACTTGTGATAAGCAAGCTCTCAAGGGGCAGTATTGGAAGTTTCATTATCAAAATAGGCGTAAATTATACATGATAATATTTCTAAAATATGCTATTTACACCTATGTATCTGGATCAAACTTGAATTGTTTTAAAAGAACGGGGTGTAGTAATTGTTAATCAAGTCGCTTAACCTAGTTCGGTGTTTATTGGCTTTGTAATAGCTCAACATTTTACTTGAAACCTCTAGAATGCATAGGAGACAAATTTCTCTGCAATTAATTGTTTATTTTACTTCTAATTACTCCCAAAAAGCATAACGAACTTGAAGTAAATAGTTTTGACGTTAAAATACGACACTGTTATTTAGATTTTCCACATTTCACAAATTTGAGCGATATATATTTCGACATACAAAACAAATGAATTATATCGTTTGATATTAGCACCCTTTTACTTCTAAATGGATTCCATTTTTAAATCTTGAATACTACGGAAAGCACAATTCTTGATGGAATTTGACAAAACTGATTGAAACTGCTCTTTATATCCCAACCTTAAAAAAACTGTTTAATTGTAAATGAGTTATTGCCGTAATTCTTGAAACGTGTCAATTTAGTTCAACAGTATAAAGGCACAATTCTTGTTGGCTGTGGGGGGAAAACTTTTTAATATCAAATTTGTTATCGCCCTTATTCGTGGAAACGTGTTCAATTGTTTAGTTCGTCGACAGTCTAACAGGCACAATTCTTGTAGGCTATGGAAAACAGGTTCAATTATACCTCGTAAACACTTCAGAAGACACAATTCTTGATGGATTTTGACGAGACTTGGTTAAATTGTTAATTTAAAATGAAGCATATCGTTTGATATTATAGACCCTGTTCTAAGTAGCCCTTAGTACTCTCAAGTTTTGATTAACCCTTTTAAAACAAATTCAGTTTGTAGATACATAGATATAAATAATCTACTTTAGAAATATTTTCAGGTATAACTTACGTTTTTGATACTGAAAATCTTTTACAAAAAAGCAATATGCTCCTTTAAATACTTCAAAACATTATTCTTGTCAGTTTGGGGAAACTTGAAATTGTTCACTCAAAATGAACGATATCGTTTAAAAACCTTTTAATATTAAATGAGTTGTTGCCCTTATTCTTCGAATCGTGTTCAAGTTTTAGTTCATCACACTAAAAGGCACAATTCTTGTAGGGTATGGACGAAAAAAAAATCATTTTATATGAGTTATTGCACTTGATCTTTAAAACACGTTCAATTATTAACTCGTAAACACTCTAAAAGGCACAATTCTTGATAGATTCAAATTGTTTAGATCTTAAAGGGTCAGGCTTGCTATTTTCGGAGGTTTATTTAAGCAAATAGTCTTGAGAAGTACTAGAATTGTATGAAAATCGCACAATTCCTTCAAAAATACACCGAACTAGGAATTTCACTCTCACTTAATGTCTTTTCTATATATGACAGAGTCTCAAGAAAAGACGAGTCGTCTTTAACTTTCAACGCAGATAATCCTCGACACATAGATTTAAAGGCTCAAATTTCGACGGTGAGCTGTGATTAGCAAAGCCAAACAATTCCTGTTTCTCGGACCGAGGTGCGATTTGTAAATTGGATGGCGATGCTGTCCCTTTAAATATTCTAGAAAGCACAATTCTTAGCACGAAATTGATTGAAATTGCTCATTATAACCCGACCTTAAAAACTAAACTTTTTAATATTAGATGAGTAATTGTCCTTATTCTTCGAAACGTGTTCAATTTTTTGTCCACATCTCAATACCTTCAAGGAAAGTATATATAAACTCAGACATGAAATCCAAAACTTGCATCAAAATACAATTATAGTATAATAGCAGGTTTACCTTGATAACAACGACAGAAGAGGAAACAAGATATATTTCCTAGTTTCATTAACAAATATTTCATAAAGTGAAGTGGAGTGAATGCAAAGTGTTTAAGTTAAATGCTGAAATGGATATTAGTATTAACCTGAAAAACAGAAAAGTTTTTTTAAGAGAGAGAGGAGGGGACTAAAAAGATGAATACGTAAGAAAGACACGCTGATGAAATAGTAAAATGAAAAATGAAATTTAGAGAGAATAGAAAATAAAACAAGTATGTGTGTACCCTAGTTGAAGTTACCAACCAACCCTATTAACAATCACACACACACACACATCTTACTTTATTTTTGAATTAAATTTATCAAATTATTTACTATATTCTTACTAGACTATTTTATAGCTATGTACTAACTTAAATTATTTATGAATTAAATTAACTAATATCATATACAACCTAAAAAGATATGAAAATATTTAACTAAAAAAACTTACAAATAAGAAAAAATTATGTTTCAGAGACAGTAATAGAACACAACCTTCCTTGACCTAAACCTATTTAACCTTAACATTCAAAGAGGTTTACAAGAGTCAAAATATGAAGATACACATGCAATTTATGTTCTTCTAAATTAGGAAAAGTATTTGGATTTAAAGAAAGGGAAGCACAAGAATTTACTTATAAGTGGCTTAATTTTATAATAGGCCTATATATTATTCCAAGATTAATATTTTCCTTTATATTAAGACTTGAATAAAATAATTTGAAATGTAGTGGGAAGAGAACTTGAAGGGAGATAATTCACACAAAGGGAAATAACTCTCAATAAAGGGAGTTAATTTAACTGTCTGATAGCTTATCAATTATCTTAAAGTATTATACTACCTAATATTTTATCACAATAAAATAAATGACAAGGAGATGAATAAATAAATGAAAATTAACGTTACCAAATATAGGAATACCAAAATATATATCTCTCATACAAAATATAGTTACCCAGAAAAAGGTTGAAGTAGCCAGATCAATTATTTCACAAAGGTTGAAAATAAAGTTTCCTTCTATTTCAAAGACCAAGACATAAGGAAAGTTTCTGACAGGATAGGTGATGAAACTCACCAATGACAGAAGGTGACAAGGTCCAGTGAGGTCAGTTCAGTTAAGAAAATAAGAGAAGGCAATAATAAGAACATTAGTATTAGGTCAGTGTAAAGTAATTATGTGCTTATTAAAACAGTAGTGGTGCATTAAGATAATACAACATTTAAATTAAAAAACCAAGTTTCTTTAAAAATGCACCCTGTCACAGTCATCACTCTAATAATTGCAATTTTTGTAGGTTAAGGAGTTGCTGCACCTGATCTCTGAAACATAGATTATTAATATTAGCTCGTAAACACTTCAGATGACACAATTCTTGGTGAAATTATTTACTCGAAAGAACTATTATTAGGATTATTGCCCTTATTCTATGAAACCTGTTCATTTTTGTAACAAGCGCATAAGGTTTCAACAGAAGATGAAATGAAGGATATGCAAACACATAGAGTATAATATATAGTAACAAAGTAGCAATATAATAAGATGAAGCGTTTCAAAAAATATAAAGGTAATATAATAATTAACAATAACATAGGTCGTTACAAAACAATGATAAAACAAAGATTAGAGTGAGATATGGTAGATGAAAAAGATATGGTAATTAACTATTATGAGAGAATTCAGTAATACTATAAACCTCGTGTACATTGAAATCGTTTTCCCCTGGACATTCTCACTGTTCTGGGGGATAGATTGTGGCTCAGAAAGTAGCTAATATTTCTTAAACTTAATAACTTAAACTTAGTAATAGCTAGTAAAGCAATATTCTTAGATAATGACTTCATTTAAAAAGGAAGAATGAAGTTTGTTTCACTGACGTGCAGATCTTGAGTTGAATTTGATATTATTATGACTTTATCATCGTTTGTTTTGAAATCAGAGACCTCTAAATTCGACGAAATTTTGATAAACAATTTTTTGGTTATTAGAGTTTGATTTGAGAACATTTTAAAAAACAAATTTCCAACTTTAAGGCAATCTTGGTCTATATTACCCCAATTTATTAAATTAGCTTCCAATCCAACATTGACAAGAGTAACAGGCTGATATGTCAAAGATCAATGTAGTCCGACTCTTGATGAATGAAGATACATTTCCACTAAGGGATGACTCAGTGAGTTGCTCTATAACCTGAAAGTTCTGGGTTAAGTCCAGGCATAGGTGGGGATATATTTTTAGGATTTTTCAATTTGTTTACCCTTGTCGGAGAAGCAGAACAATAAACTTGAGACCTCGCATGCTACACTTTGTATACGTTAAAGATCCATCGACGGCTGGAAATCGAGTAGGCCAATGACGCTAACTTGGCAAAATTTCGCTTCCATCAGTCAAAACACATGGAGTAATGTAGGAATCCATTTATTTCATTTCCATTTAAACGTATATTTTTTTTGGTTTCTTTTTTAGCCGTTAGCGGGAACTCAAATAGCTGTCTTTACTATTGGGTTTGACATACACCACTCATAGTTAGATGGCCAACAAAGCACGGTAAGTTTATTTTTTAATCAAATACCATGTTCATAGTGTTTTCTTTAAGTGTTGACAAAACCTTCAAAATTTCAGAATAATTATTTACTATTTTTTGAGTGACATCATACAATGATTAGTTTTAATTGAAATTTAAAGACTACAGACGGGTGGCTGGATATTGCCATTTTTGTTATGATGGCACAAATAACTGATGATGTAAAATTTCTATTACAGAAAATCTTATTTGCTTATATATTTGTACAAAATGTTTAGATTTCAAAATGAATGCATGAATGACCGTTGTGGTAAACTACCATGTTTTTTTACTATCAGATAAAATAATTCTGTTAAATGTCACAATTTACATTATTATTGTTTCTCTTGCAGGGTTCCAAGAACAAAGCTGGTCTTAGCTATACATTAGAGGGACATTCAACTGGTCAATCATTACATAGGTTATGGTGGAGTACAAATGTCCTAAAAGCGAATCTTGGAACAAAGCGAGGTAATGATTACCGATTTAGTTTCTGAGAAGTTTGAGCTATTGCCTTTGTCATGGAAGACATTGGCTTTCAAATTGGACTGAACATGGTATATCTCTATTGTGATTTTTGATGAACAGTTTTTGACAAGGTTTAATACATACCTACTATGTCAAAATTTTAAGGACAATTTTGTATGTTAATGTTTGAAGCATTCTCAGATTTGTCCATAATGTTAAGTTATTTATAATTTCAGGTGTATACAGATAGAGTTTCACCACATCGACATGAAGTGCTTATGGTGTGGCACAGAAGCTCGCAAGGCAAGTTGACATTATTACTTATAGCTATTCTGATCTCTAACCATTTAGATTCCTCGTATGCTCATGAAATGTTTCCTGGTAACAAGCACAAGAGCAACGAAGAATCAAAAAGTGCCACGACAGCATCTGTCTGTTTTGTGTCACTAGAAAGCGTAGTGAATTTTGTTTTTGTGTAATTTTAGGTTAGAAAGGGTAAATCGTTTGGTAATATACCTACCCGCAATAGCACTGCCACAATAGGAGTGTTCTGAGGTCATGGCCTGTATGACTCTACAGAACTCCTATTCACAGATGAAGAGGAACAGATGAAGGACAGATGAAGAGGAACAGATGAAGCGGAACAGATGAAGCAGCTGCGGTGATTCCTCCACCCATTTTTTGTAAGCTTACTTTTGATTTTTTTCAAGTGGTATTCTGAATTTCAGAAGGTGCATGTACTGGATCAATAGCTATGCAATAGACAATGGTACAAAAATGTTTCCATAGCTGAAGAAATGTATGGTGTTTTGAGTGCAAGTCTTGAGCATGCCCTTACTCAATAGAGATTTTCCTTTAGAATGACTTGACTCTTTTTTTCTAATAGTACTAAAATTAGCCTCCTTATTAAAGTTTCCGACTGTTAAAAAATTGTACATGTTGTGCTGGGTATCGATTATTCAATTTAGATCGTTTATCGATGGCAGGCTATCGATCGATCGATCGATTAATAATGGAAATCTTTTAATTAAAAAACCCTGTAAATACTAAATTAAAAACATGCTAAAATTATTATTTACAAGAGTTATATTTGCGTCATAGAAGTATATTCTTTCTTTGATCGGTTATTATAGATTATTGTGGGCAAGTTATGTGTAAAGGTAAACTATGTGGAAAAGATTACAACTTGTTAATTACCACTGGAGAATTCGATAATCGAAAATCGAAATTATAATTCCAGCGACGATAATTGATTATTTGGATCATTTACCCAGCCCTTGCAAAAATATCAGGAATAAATTTGGTTTATTACTTCACTGTTTTGTTTCAAGAAGTATAATAGCAAACAATCAGAAATAGGGACAAGAGTAAAGGGCTGTGGTATCGAAGGATCAATGTTGTCATAGACAATTGATAAATCACGATAAATTGCTGCTTGCTTTAATTAGAATAAAATGTTTATTGTTTTCGGTTTCTTTTTCAGCCGTCAGCGGGAACTCAATAGCGGTCTTTACTATTGGGTTTGACATACACCACGCAAAGTTAGATGACCAACAAAGCACGGTCAGTTTATATTTAAAGAAATTTCCTGTTCATGGAGTTTTCTTACCTTGTTAAAAACAGCTTCCAGATTATTATTTGTGATTATAACAAAAAAAAGATGTTTTCTGACCTTTTCTGAAAGGCCCTTAGACATTATAAGCAGCGTTAGGGATAGTGACAGCTTAAGATGTTATTTTTAGTGCATTTTAAGAACCTTATGAAAACTTGGCTTCCAAATGTTTTCACGAATGACTGTTTTGATCAATTACCATGGCTTTAACAATAAGATAATTAGATCTTTTTAAATACCATATTTTACATTACTATTATTTCCCTTGCAGGGTTCCAAGAACAAAAATAGCTGGTTTTTAGCTGTACAATAGAGGGACATTCAACTGGTCAATCATTACATAGGTTATGGTGGAGCACAAATGTCCAAAAAACGAATCTTGGAACAAAGCTAGGTGATGATAACTGAATTATTTCTGAGAAAATTTGTGTTATTGCTTTTGTCCTAGGAAACATTGGCTTTGAAATTGGATTGAAATTGGTATGCTGATATCTGATTTTGATTAACAGTGTTTTTGACTGGGCCTAAAACATAACCACTTTGTCAAAATTTTAAAGGAAATTTTGTGTGTTAATGAAGCATTCTCATATTTGTCCATAATGTTAAGTTATTCATAATTTCAGGTGTATACAGATAGAGTTTCACCACATCGAAATGAAGCGTTATGGTGTGGCGCAGAAGCTCGCAAGGCAAGTTGACAGTATTAAATAAAGCTATTCTGATCTCTAGCCATTTAGATTCCTCGTATGCTAACTCATGAAAATGTTCATGGTAACAAGCACAAGAGCAATGAAGAATCAAAAAGTGCCATGAAAGCATTAAAAAGCGATAAACTGTTTACACAGTCAGCAAGGTTATATGAACATCTAGACACTTAAGCAAAAGTAAAAAGTAGAATATTGTAATGTTATTATATTTCTGTTTTGTTACACTACAAAGTGTAGTGAATTTTGTTTTTGTGTAATTTTAGATTAGAAAGGGTAAATCGTTTGGTAATTTACCTACCCGCAATAGCACCGCCACAATAGGAGTGTTCTGAGGTCATGGCCTGTATGACTCTACAGAACTCCTATTCACAGATGAAGAGGAACAGATGAAGGACAGATGAAGAGGAACAGATGAAATAGGACAGATGAAGGACAGATGAAGAGGAACAGATGAAGCGGAACAGATGAAGCAGCTGCGGTGATTCCTCCACCCATTTTTTGTAAGCTTACTTTTGATTTTTTTCAAGTGGTATTCTGAATTTCAGAAGGTGCATGTATTGGATCAATAGCTATGCAATAGACAATGGTACAAAAATGTTTCCATAGATGAAGAAATGTATGGTATTTTGAGCATGCCCTTACTCAATAGAGCTTTTCGTTGAGAATGACTTGACTCTTTTATGTCGTGAATTTTTCTAAAAGTACTAAAATTAGCCTCTTTATTAAAGTTTCGACTGTTAAAAAATTGTACATGTACATGTTGTGCTGGGTATCGATTATCAAATTGAGATCGATTATCGATGGCAGGCTATCGATCGATCGAGTAATAATGGAAATGGTTTACTTAAAAAAAACCTGTAAATACTAAATTAAAAACATGCTCAAATTATTATTTACAAGAGTTATATTTGCGTCATAGAAGTATATTCTTGCTTTGATCGGTTATTATAGATTATTTTGGGAAAGTTATGTGTAAAGGTAAACTATGTGGAAAAGATTACAACTTGTTAATTACCAGTGGAGAATTTGATAATCGATAATCGAAATTATAATTCCAGCGACGATAATCGATTATTTGGATCATTTACCCATCCCTTGCAAAAAAAGCAGAAATAGATTTGATTTATTGCTTCACTCCGTCAATGTTTTGTTTCAAAAAGTATATTAGCAAACTATTAGACATAGGGACAAGAGTAAGGGCTGTATTAAAGGATGAATGTTGTCTGACTCATAGACAATTGATAAATCACGATAAATTGCTGCTTGCTTTAATTAAAATGAAATGTTTGTTTCGGTTTCTTTTTCAGCCGTCAGCGGGAACTCAATAGCGGTCTTTACTATTGGGTTTGACATACACCACGCAAAGTTAGATGACCAACAAAGCACGGTCAGTTTATATTGTAAAGAAATTTCTTGTTAATTGAGTTCTCTTACCTTGTTAAAAACAGCTTCCAGATTATTATTTGTGATTATAACAAAATAAAGATGTTTTCTGACCTTTTCTGAAAGGCCCTTAGACATTATAAGCAGCGTTAGGGATAGTGACAGCATAAGATGTTAAATTTTAGTGAATTTTTAAGAACCTCATACGCCCAGATGAATTTTGGCATGTTCCAATTCTTACGAATAATTCAGGATATAAAATTGCTCTTCCAAAAAATTTAATTTGCTGACAGATTTGTCCAGGAAAACTTGGATTTCAAAATGTTTTCACAAATGATTGATCTTGATCAATTACCATGGCTTTAATGATGAGATAATTAGATCTTTTTAAATACCATAATGTGCATTACTATTTTTTTCCCTTGCAGGGTTCCAAGAACAAAAATAGCTGGTTTTTAGCTGTACAATGGAGGGACATTCAACTGGTCAATCATTACATAGGTTATGGTGGAGCACAAATGTCCTAAAATCGAATCTTGGAACAAAGCTAGGTGAAGATAACTGAATTATATCTGAGAAATTTGTGTTATTGCTTTTGTCCTAGGAAACATTGGCTTTTAAATTGGATTGAAATTGGTATGCTGATATCTGATTTTGATTAACAGTGTTTTTGACTGGGCCTAAAACATAACCACTTTGTCAAAATTTTAAGGGAAATTTTGTGTGTTAATAAAGCATTCTCATATTTGTCCATAATGTTAAGTTATTTATAATTTCAGGAGTATACAGATAGAGTTTCACCACATCGAAATGAAGTGCTTATGCTGTGGCGCAGAAGCTCGCAAGGCAAGTTGACAGTATTGCATAAAGCTATTCTGATCTCTAACCATTTAGATACCTCGTATGCTTACTCATGAAATTTTTCCTGGTAACAAGCACAAGAGCAATGAAGAATCAAAAAGTGCCATTAAGGCATTACGATGGACTAGGTCTCCAGAACTCAACAAAAAGCGATAAACTGTTTACACAGTCAGCAGTCACCTAAAGTGATACTACGTCTTAGAATGAATATAAAATTTAAGTTTTCAAAAAGGTCAATATTAATCTATATTCATCAGTTAGCTTACCTGGTGTCATAAAGTTACAACAGAATCCCTTTAAACAAAAATAAATTTGAATATTGCAATGGTATTATATTTGTTTTACTACACTAGAAAGTGTAGCGAATTTTATTTTTGTGTAATTTCAGGTTAGAAAGGGTAAATCGTTTGGTAATTTACCTACCCGCAATAGCACTGCCACAATAGGAGTGTTCTGAGGTCATGGCCTGTATGACTCTACAGAACTCCTATTCACAGATGAAGAACAGATGCTGTGGCGCCTACAGAACAGATGAAGAACAGCAGATGAAAAGAAACCGACGAAGTGCCACAGGTATGCTTCAAAGGACACTTAATCATCTAAATATTTACTGGATCGAGCGCTATTTTGACTATTTTTCCAAATGACATCTAGTTTTTCTAGAATTATTTAAAACGCATCGACCAAATTGGCAGAAGTGTAATATTCATAGGCATTTCTTCCATTCGCATATCAGTAATTTAGAAAGTTAAGATAAAAAAAAGTTGGTAAAATATTTGAGCTACGGCTCATTTACATGATTTTTCCTTTCTAATTTCAGAAGAAAAGCACAGAAGAAGATTGGGTTTCGGCATTGATTTGGTGTTTCTGCATTGATTTATTGATTTGGTGTTTCTGCATTGATTTATGAATTTAGTGTTTCTGCATTGATTTGGTGTTTCTGCATTGATTTGGTGTTTCTGCATTGATTTGGTGTTTCTGCATTGATTCATTGATTTGGTGTTTCTGCATTGATTTATTGATTTGGTGTTTCTGCATTGATTAATTGATTTGGTGTTTCTGCATTGATTTGGTGTTTCTGCATTGATTTGGTGTTTCTGCATTGATTTGGTGTTTCTGCATGGGCATTGATTTGCTAATGCTACCTAAGATTCGTTATTTCTGCATCGTTTGATTGTCTTTATTTGTTTTTTTTTGTTTGTGTGATTTTCTGTGAAACGGGTTTGTTGTATGCATTTTTTGTTTGAGTTGTTGATTTTTGGCATGGGTTGTTGATTTTTGGCATGGGTTGTTGATTTTTGGCATGGGTTGTTGATGCTTTGGTTGGATTTTTGATTTTTGAATTTGATTTCGGATTTTTGGATTTTGTGATTCAGTGTTTTAAGCGGTCGAGGTCAAAGTTCTAAGATGGCGGTTCAGGTCAAAGTTCAAAGATGGCGGTTCAGGTCAAAGTTCAAAGATGGCGGTTCAGGTCAAAGTTCAAAGATGGCGGTTCAGTTCAAAGTTCAAAGATGGCGGTTCAGGTCAAAGATGGCGGTTCAGGTCAAAGATGGCGGTTCAGGTCAAAGATGGCGGTCGAGGTCAAAGATGACGGTCGTGGTCAAAGTTCAAAAATGGCGGTCGAGGTCAAAGATGGCAGTCGATGTCAAAGTTCAAAAATGGCGGTCGAGGTCAATTTCATTAATTTTTATTTCTTTCTTTTACACCTTATGGTGGCAATAATGTCTTTTTTTTTATCAGATATTGGTACTTTTATTGTGATACGTTTCAAGAATTGGTAGGACAGAATATAATCTTGTGTTAATTCAAATATTTGTGTTTTTATGGTATAGAAGAATGATGAAGATAAGTTTGAATATTTAAATGTCAGGTAATCTCTCCCAAATGTCTTAAAATAAAATACTTATTTATGAAACCATTGGACTCACTAGTTGGCCTATATTTTTAAAATTATAGTTTGACAGTCATGAATTCATTGGTCTGAAATTAAAGTTAGCTATTGAAAGCTATCACGCATAATTACTCATTTTGTTGTAGACGATTGGAGAAATTTACATGATTTTTCTTTTCTATTTTCAGAAGAAGAGCACAGAAGAAGATGGTTTTCTGCATAGATTTATTGATTTGATGTTTCTGCATGTATCTGGTGTTTCTGTATATATTTGATGTTTCTGCATTGGTTTGCTACATGAGACTCGATTTTTCTGCATTGTTTGATTGTTTTTATTTCTATTTTTTTGGTTTTGTTGTGATTTTCTGGGAAACTGCATTTTTTGTTTGGATTGTTGATTTTTGGCTTGGGTTGTTGATTTTTGGCTTGTATTGTTGGGTTTTGGCTTGGATTGTTAATTGTTGATTTTTGGGTTGGATTGTTGATTTTGGCTTTGATTGTTGATTTTTGGCTTGGGTTTTTGGTTTTTGGCTTGGATTGTTGATTTTTGGCTTGGATTTTTGGATGCTCAAAGATGGAGTTAGAAATCAGATGGTAGTCGAGGTCAAAGTTCAAGACGGTGGTCGAGGTCAATTTTATTGCGGATATTTAATTGTTTTCTTTCTTTTACACTTTATCGTGGCAATAATTTGCTTTTTTACATCAGATATTGGTAGTTTTATTGTGATACGTTTGAAGAATGGGGAAGACAGAATATAATGGTGTATTAATTCAGATATTGTTTTTATGGTATAGAAAAATGATGAAGATAAGTTTGAATATTTAAATATCAGGTAATCTCTCACAAATGTCTTAAGATGAAATACTTATTTATGAAACCATTGGACTAACTGATTGGCCTATAATTTTTGAATCATAGTTTTACAGTCAGGAAATCATTGGTCTGAAATTAAAATTAGCAATGGTAAGCTATTACGCATCATTACGCATTTTCTTAAAGACGATTTGTGCAATTTTCTTTTTTTTCTATTTCAGATATTTGTTATATGTATCTGTTTTCATAGTTTAAGGGTAGGCAGGGAGTAATCCTGCAGGGAGATCATCGCCCCTGTCCTGCCGAGATGGAATTGCAGTGTTGTATGACAGGCAAGAATTGATGGAAGAAAAAAGGGTACGTTACTGTGGTCCCTCTTCAAATCTTTTTATTATTTTTTTTTACTTATGGATGATGAAATCAAAGTTGTTGCATTGGGTTAAAGTTCGAGATGGTGTGTGAGATCAAAGTTCAAAGATAGTAGTTGAGGTCAAAGATCACAGCATTATAAAAATAGAAGTTGATAATACAAATGTATAACTTAAATTTTTTTTTCTTTCTTTCTACCTTTTTGCTAGACTTATTGCTTTGTATTCCAATATCAATCTCATTGTCTTTTTTCATTTGAGTACGAGTGGGGGATGTAATATATTTTTTTATATCAGATACTGGTATTTCGATTTCGAATAATTTGGAAAACAGAAGATATTGGTATATTAATTCAGATATTGGTCTTTTAGTTTGATGGTCCAGAATTATGAAGAAGATTAATTTGAATCTTAAGATATTGTGTAATTTCTCCCACATATCTTAACATAAACTACTTGCCTACTTCTGATACCATTGGATTGAGATGGATTGAAGTGTTGTCATGGTTTTGAAAGGCAAGAGTTGATCGAAGTAATAAGGGGATGTGACTCTTTCAAACATAATATTTTCTACTTCTGCACATGCAATATATACAATTGAAGGCCAGTGATGCAAGTTGGAGATGTCGAGATTTTAAACACACTAATTATCTGATTTTGATATTACTATATATTAGTCACACCTAATTGCTCTTTTTCCATCGACTGATCCACCAATACAGATTACAAGTTAATAACTTATCTCTTATATGTATTGCGCTGAAGTTAATAACTCACATTAATTTCACCTTTTTTATGTAGATAACAATGTATTGCTAAAATGTTTTTGCCCTGAATTCGTTTGTTGAATTCTAAAATCACAGTTAACATCCTTAAGCTGGTCTGGAGTACAGAAACATTTTACCACCCCCTCCAAATAAAAATTCACACACTTTTACTTGCTTTTACTGTTTGTCCGCCTGTACATGGATTGTATTTTTGTTTTTGTGTTTTTCTTTTTATGTTTTATTTTTAACAAAATATCTATCATCATTATTATTATGACTTAAAATATTTCACGGTTGGTTTTCTTTGCTTTTTTTTCATTTGTGTATTTCGTATATACAAATTAACCGCCATTCATGGAATTGTGAATTCTTTTATTGCAATTGTTTTACTGCATTGTTTCTGCGCTTGTTCATTATTATTACGAATTAGATTACTTCACTACTATTTTTTTGTGTTTTATTTTATGTTGTTTTTTAGTCAGTTGTGCATTTCCAAGACCCTTGTTTGATGTCATTATGGAATTATCTATTATCATTTAGTTTTATCAATTTCAAAATAATTCAAAATGCTATTTAATATCTATTATTATTTGAAATCAAAATTATTCAAAACATTCTATAAATATTATCATTATATAGTAATGTTATTCTATTATTCCATTGTTATTATTATTATTATTATTATTATTATTAGTATTATTGATGTTAAAATACTCTATTATGATTATTGTGATTATAATATCAAAATGGTTGTTTATATTGTTTTTGTTTTGCTTTTGTAAATTTGTGTGTGTAAATTTAAAAACAAATATGTAATAAAGTTTGTATGTATTACTTGTTATATTCTATTTTTCATTATTATTGCAATTAAAATGTGCAGAGGGACTTCATTTAAGTGTGGCAACCACTTTCCGATATAATCGAAATATGGACACCAAACATGTTTTAATCTGAATAAGTCATAAATCAAGATGTTCAGTTTTGCGTTTTTCTGCCACGGTAACTTGAATGAATGAATTACAGAAAAAATTGAAACAAAATTAAAGCTAGAGCTACACGTGGCACAGCGTGGGCATGAGAAGCACATTAAGAATCCGAAATAGATGTTGGTCAAATACGAAAGTATCAACTGATAGCCAAGGTCGGTGTCCTTGACCTAATGAATGAATAGAGATGTCTACCGATCAGTATAGGTTTTGTTGCGGTATATTAATAACACGGAAGTAGTTCAACCGGAAGTGAAGATCATTTGTTAAAAGTTAAAAAATCATAGCATCAAAATCAGATACACGTAAAAAAAAGCTCAGCTTGGGGGACCAAGGCAAAATTGGCCAAAATCGAAAAAACGCCATAACTTTCAACGAATTCAAGCTACCAACCCGCAATTCACAGGGAATATGCATATTGACCATCTGGACATGTCAGAACAAACAGAACTCAAATATCTGGCAGTTTTCTGAAATTAGCTAAAATGACTGACATCAAAATCTAACAGAATTGCCCAATTCTGCTCATTTCCTATCATTAGGACCCAGGGGACGCCATAACTTTCAAAGTATTCAAGCTATGAACCTGAAATTCACAGGGAATATCCGTATTGACAATCTGGACATGCCAGAACATAAATATATGGTCTAGTTTACGAAATATGGACGATTTTCTGAAATTAACTAAAAGGGTTCAAAATGGCTGACATCGAAATCTCTCAGAATTGCCAAATTCTGCCCATTTCCTATCATTAGGGCCTAGGGGCTTAAAAAAACCCACATAGAGTCAAAATCGGAAACACTTCGAAAATGCTTATTTTGTTTAAACAAAATACATTTTTTATTTCATTTTAACGAAATAATTATTTTGTTTAATCGAATAACTTATTTCGTTTAAACGAATAACTTATTTCGAAATACATTGTTTAAATGAAATAAGTTATTCGACTAAACGAAATAATTATTTCGTTAAATGAAATAATTAATTCGTTTGTTTAAACGAAATATATGAAATTATGAAATTGATTGATTTAAACAATATTTCATTTCTATTATACATGTAATTTTTACAGGTTAACATGGAAATTAATTGAATTCATATTTCACAATATTGTTTTCAAAACTTTGGAATAAAAACAAAAAGAATATAATTTTATTTATTATTTTTCACTGAGGTCCTGCAAATTTAAGGCGATCACCTTAGAGATTTCAGGAAAATCAGTTTTTTATAAGTTTTACGTTGTTTAACCATGATTTTAGGTAATTACTATAAAAATGACATAGGACATCTCTTCTAGTTGACTTTTTTGACACCAAAATTGTAAAGAATCATAATGGTAGTTCTTTGTTCACAAAATGTCTTTCAAATTGTCGAGGAGCTCTCTTTGTGGTAATTCAAACGGAACTGTCAGATATGTTCATAATATAACACAGTCACTTTGAAGGAAAGTTTTTCTTCTTATACCATCTCGCTTGAAATAGTTACCAATGACTTGTCAACAGGCAACACCAAGTCCAATCCCCCACGCTTATATTTCTTAACTTTCTGTTATTGTTATTACTGTGAGCCTTCTTTGATATTTCGACTGTCATTTCACTGTGAACTCCCCCAACCCCCTTCTACTTCTACAGCAGCTATCATGGAGAACCCGGGCTCAAATTGTAGTATTATTAGTTATCTGAAAGGAAATATATCAAATTAAGGTAAGTTTGGAAATCAATTGAATTCACAAATATGTCACAATTGTTGTTAAAATTTGGAGTCAAAAAGGTAGAGTATAATCATATTTAATTTTCCTCATGGAGGAGCTGCAAATTTCATGCAATCGGCTGAAAATTTGAAGAAAAAATAGGTTTTGATAAGTTTAACGTGATCAAACCATGATTTTAGGCAAATGCAGAAAAAAAATGTGGAGAGAGGGTTGTGTCAGTTTACGGTAATCCCGATTGCAACAATCGGGCTTTCTCGGAAATTGTATGCCAGGACCTCTGTCTTGAATGATCGAGCTTGCCTATCTAAATACGGAAAATATCAGTAGTCCCGATTACACCACTCGGGTTGTCTTGGAATTTTTCACAAGGACCTCTGTCTTGAATTAACGAGCTTACCTATCCAATATCGAAAAATATCAGTAATCCCGATTACAACACTCGTGATTTCTCGGAAATTTTCGCAAGAACCTCTGTCTTGAATTAAGGGACGAACTCATTATTACTGCTCGCGGGAAGTACCAGAAAATCCCGACTACATGAAGGCTCCAGAACACAATTAAATTGATCATTTTGACGTACTTAAATAGAGTTCCGTACCTTCGATTACAATTTCATCTATCTGACGTTGTTCCGTTCAAACAGGTGTTGTATTCTGTTGTATTCAGCCTTTTGCACTCTGTCTAGTGCAGTTACAGCAAGACTTTCGGAAATTTCAAAACGTACATTGTGAAGTGTTCATTCTAACGAAATTAAACCTTGTCTGTCTTAGTATTTTTAGAAATGTAAGCGTCCAACATTTCGACGAAAATGCGTGAACTATTTGGGAATTTGGGCACGTTAGTCAGAAATCGTGGGTACTTGGAATACAAATTTTAGCGCTGTCACAAGGAATTACTGAATCAAGACAGTATATGGTTATCGTGCAAAGTCTCGATATTTTCATGGAGATTTTACAGAAGCCAGTTAAAGCAAGTTTTAGCGCTGTCAAGGAATTGAATTCACAAATATGTTACAATTGTTGTCAAAATTTGGAGTCAAAAAGGTAAAATATAATTCTATTTAATTTTCCACATTGAGGAGCTGCAAATTTCATGCAATTGGCTGAAAATTTTAAGAAAAAATAGGATTTGATGAATTTTTTCGTGGTTAAACCATGACTTTAGGCAAATGCGATAAAAAAATGTGGACAGAAGTTGTGTCAGTTTACGGTAATCAATCGGGTTTTCTCGGGCATTTTCGAAAGGACCTCTGTCCTGAATGATTGAGCTTGCCTATCCAAGTACAGAAAATATCAGTAGTCCCGATTACACCACTCGGGTTGTCTTGGACTTATTCGCAAGGACCTCTGTCTTGAATTAACGAGCTTACCTATCCAAATAGGGAAAATATCAGTAGTCCCGATTACACCACTCGGGATGCAAACCCGATTGCACGAAGGCTTCAGAACACAATTGAATTAATCATTTTGACTTACTTAAAAAAAGTTTGGTACCTTTAATTACAATTCCATTTATCTGAAATGTGTTGTATTCAGCCCTTTGCACTCTGCCTGGTGCAGTTACTGTTCAGAATGTCGGATCGTGGAAAGAACGGTGGTGCGATCGCACCGACCAGCTTCCATTGAACCTTGTGCGCAACTTCTAACACTTCCGCCTTCTGGGTAAAGGTCAGTATTCATCAAGCGCGCTTCCACTCAACATCGTCATGTGTAGATTTTTTAAATCATTCTGTATCGTCTTCCATCGAATAAATGTTTTAGTTTGTTATGTTTTACATCGACACATCGTCTGAACATTTGGCAGACAGAGACGTGGTTTGTTTCGCGGTTTCGATTTCGATTATGGTAGTTTTCGATGTTTGAAAATGATGCTCATTTACACAGTTAAGAAGTGGTAAAACATCATCATGGGTGATAATCCCTAAGTGGAAGGCCAACAGACAACATCTTTTTTTTTGACTTACGAAGAAGAAAACGTATCTGTAAGTCACAGTTGACTAAAGCTGTATTTGACAAGTCTACTTTATTCGAGTGCTCCAGATATTGATGGTATTAGATCAGCAGTTGGCAGTGTTCTGCGATACCAGGAAGAGGTAATAAACATTTTAAATCATCTTTGTGATATTTCTGCCGACTTCGAGAATGAACTTGAGACTGAGCAATCTGACAGAAGTATGGCCGAAGTTTTGAGTAAAGATACAGACTGACTGGGTCATGTTTCAAGTGGTTCTTCTCATATTGCATCACATCGATTTGCTAATCTATAACTGGCACAAAACGCACAGGAAAAGTCCCCTAATAGTAATTTTGGTATCAACCTACATAATGGTAATGGTAATTCAAGTGTTGAACAACTGTTAAGTTTCAGCCAGAGACTTGCATCGACAACTCAGTAAGGTTTTCATCAACAAATTTAATGGTAACAAACGTGAATATCAGGTATTCAAAGATGCATTCATGGAGTATATTGACAAAGCGTCTTGCTCGAAGGCATATAAAATGCTTCAGTTGCGCCAGCACTTGACGCTTTGAAATGCATAGCACGGTTCCCGGCATCTGAATTGGGCTATGATTCTGCACTCAAACGTTTGCAAGATAAATTTGGCGGACAACGTCGTCAAACTCTTATTCACTTAGACAATATTCGAATGATGAAGCCGGTAAGCTTCAACGATTTAAAACGTTTTGAAGAATTCGTTGATGAACTTGAACTATCTATTCTGTCATTGTAAGAAAATAATGGCACCGATGAATTCGAAGTAGACTAGTTTCTTTTGTGTCACTAGGTCCTAACTTACAACATCATGTCTTTTGCAATTGAAACTTTGGGCAGCTAGCACTAAGAAGAACGAGTCTCTTGTAACCCTACATGAATGGCTTGCACATGAAGTCCGTTATAGAACTGAATCCAACGAAGAAATTGAGGGCTTATCGGTAGCTTCAAATCATTCAAAGACAGTATCGAACTATCAAAGATCTCGTTTTTCGATAAACATTCGAAAACGTATGCTACAAATTCTGTAGATTCGAAATCATGCGTTGTGTGTCATCATGATCATGCTCCGGGTGTAAGTAACTGTCCCTATTTTAGATCCCTTGTGGTTTCACAACGATGTAGGGTTGCCAAAGAAAAGCGCCCATGCTTTCGATGCAAATAGTCATATTGGTAATCGCTGTACAGCTGCACAACAGTGCTCTATAGGTGAATGTACTCGAACGCACCACTTCCTACTCCACGGAGGGGGATCTGGTAACGTTCAAAGTATTGAAGGTCTGCGTTCGAATCCTTTAAGTGAATTCTCCTTCCGCCACCGACCGTTCGTGGTGAACTTCCACTGCGAAAGCAAACTCATGCGCAGATTACACACAGATCTTCCCTTGTGATGCGATTGGACTTGGTGATGCCTGTTGACATGCCATTGGCAACAAATACAAGAGAGTAAGAAGAAAAACTATCCTTAAAAATGACAATGTTATATTATCTGACAGTTCCGTTTAAATCACCATAAAGAGAGCACTTCAAAATTTTTTGAACAAAGACCTATCATTATGATTCTTTACAATTTTGGTGTCAATAAAGCCAACTAGAAGAGATGTCCTATGTCAATTGGTAAAGATTGTATCGAGAGGTATTTTGGTTGCAGATTATTTTAACTGGCTTGTGTGAAATTTTCATGCTTATGGTGTGGCACAGAAGCTCGCAAGTCAAGGTTTTTTTTTAAAGTTTATCTGAAATCTTGAACCATTTATATATTCTTAATTTGAAACCCGTCTGCAAAAAAATATCTGGCAACGCTTTGCTAATCAGATAAACGGTTTATGTGGTCAATCTTGCTCTCTCCAAAATGTTTTTGTTTTTGAATTACTTCAAGGAATAGAGCCATCTAATTATTTGCAGTATTGTTTCTTTCATTTCAAATTTGATACTGATTTTATTCCTTCAACTTATTAATTTGATCATGTATTTATATCTTTCAGGTTAGAAATGGTAAATCGTCTGGTAATTTACCTAGCCGCAATAGCACTGCAACAATAGGAGTGTTCTGGGGTCATGGCCTGTATGGTTCTCCAGACCTCCTATTCACAGATGAAGAGGAACAGATGAAGAACAGATGAAGCGGCGCCTACAGAACAGATGAAGAACAGATAAAGAAAAGATTAACAGGGGAAAAAGAGGGACCTTCAATGAGTGCTCAATAAGAAGAACCACGTCTATAGATGAAAAGCCGTTGGTATGTTACAAGGGTTTTAGTGAACATAGTCATCTAATTATTTACCAGTTAATTATGTCTGCTAACCATGACGTATGGTTCCTCTACAATTGAATTAAAATGTATGGAAATTTCAATATCTGTAGGGTATTTGATAACTGGCATATTTCCTTGAAAATGAAAATGTAGCATTTAATTCATAAATTTAAAATGTCAAAAAGTACAATATTTATAGGCTTACATTTGCATATGATTTTAAAGGAATACTACCCCTTAGAATGAACATTTAATTCATATTCTCAAATTTGGCCTATAAGAGTATGTATTTATCAGTGGGGTAACATGATTTTCTAACTCACTGCTTTCCTGTGTGACCCCAATATGCATGAAGTTCGAACCTGGGCTCTTTGGAAAAAGTGAAAAAGTGCCAAAAATTGCTGGTTTCCATATTTTCAGAAAGGCTCAAAAAACTTCTGAACTAAAAGAGGTTTAGAATTGTCGTATTACAGCTTTGTAAAGCTCAGATTTGGAATTACTTTGTGTCTAAATTTCAAGTATTTTGGCTGTGTTGAAGTTTGATGAAGCCTGTTTTTTTCCAATCTTATTAAAATTAGTTCGTTTCTTCTTTGTTTTCTGATATCATTTTCAGTCTACACTGTAACCTAGGAAGTTTTCTACCAATTCCAAGGTATTTTTAACCAAGCACAGCATGTCATGTAAAACTCGTTTCTTGATAAAAAGTTGTGAGATAGTGAAACCCCAAAAGGCTGTCATATTGCTCTAAATAAAGTTTCAATATCCCACAATTCCTTATTTTATCACATTGGTTAAAAATGCTACCTTTTGGGACAAGCTTTTGGTAGAAAACTTCTTAAATTACAATGTAAACTAAAAATATCGTACAACAAACAAGATACGAAATTCTCATTAGATTGTTTTTTGTCTGACTGTGTGCTTCTTTGCGAACATGCATGAAAGTGCATACTGTATCCTTGTATACTAATAAATCCATAAAACTATTCAACAATGTTCAGCGTTGTTCAATAATTACTTGTAGACTACTTACATTTCTTTTGCATTTAACTGCTGTTTATTTTAAGAGGTATTTTGTTTAAAAAAGCCAGTTTTGACCAAATTAAGTAGTTGTGTTGGCAAAGATATTCTAGCTTCAGATTATCTACATAATAATTTTTTTTTATTTCAGCTGAAGAGCTCAAAGGAAGATGGTATTTCTGCATTAATTTGGTGTTTCTTTATTGATTTGGTGTTTCTGCATTGATTATGTGTTTCTGCATTGATTAGGTGCTCCTGTATTGATTTGGTGTAAATGAGTTCCGAATTCTGCTTCCAGCGACATATTTCTACTTGTGCCTTTTGAACTGACTTTCTCCTTGTGCTAGAATAAGTGATAATCTGGGAAAAATCAATGCCAACAATTTTGGCCAAGGACCAGCTGTTAGACAGGATCTTATGAACCCTGTTTCTCAAAAAATCTTATGATCAATTTTTGTCTTAAGTATGGTAATTCTTGGCGTAAAATTCCTCATTTACGACAAATTTGTTTTCGTAAGATTTTTTTAGAAACAGGGGTCCAGGTATTTCTGCTTTCATTTGGTGTTTCTGCACCTTTTATTATACCAGTCAATCATATCATACCTTTCCACTACCTTTCAACAAAAATTGCCATGATACAAAGACCATCAGTAGTTATTTGGATGTTGATTGACATGCATTTCTTCTTTTTTTCTGTTTTGATTTCTGCTTTTTTGTTCGTATTTCTGCTTTTTGATTTGAAAGTTGGCAGTTGAGGTCAAAAGTTAGTGTATGAAGTGGAATGTCAAAGATCGTGATCGAGGTTAAAGTTCAATGATAGTTGTCGAGGTCAAAAGTCAAAGTTGGTGGTTGAGGTCAAAGGTCAAAGTTGGTGGTTGAGGTCATAGGTCAAAGTTGGAATTTGAGTTCAAGTTCAAAGATGGTATTGGAGTTCAAGGGTCAAAGTTGGTTGTTGAGGTCAAAGTTTTATATTCAGGTTATGGTGGTATGGATGGAGGGATGGTTATCAGATGAGAAGAAGCATGCAGATAAAGAAAGGTATGGTCATCTAAATATTTTTATTTTACCAGCCCATAAAGATGAAACGATGTCATAATTGCAGTGTTCAATGAGGGAAATTCTGCAGGATATTAGGATTTTGATTTCCACGAGTCAAGGATGTGAATGCCTTTATCACACAGGGCCTTAGTTTATTGTCCCATCCAAGCAACTAGACCCTTTTTCATGCCGGCGCCTCTGGATTGCATCATTGAAAACTTCAAAGGTATAGTCTCAAGTGAAGCAAGGAAGCATCTAACCTACATAACCACAGCTGCTTCCTGCCCGCTGATTAAACCATGGCACTTTCTCAATTTTTTTAATTAAAATTTTTGAATATACTTTTTTTTTTCAGATGATTGTGGAAAGAGTAATGGTTTTCAGTTTCTGTTTGTTTGGCTGTCTGCCTATTTTTGTTCATGACTTTTGTTTAGTTGGGTTGGTTTTAGTTTTTTTTGGATTATGAATTGGATTAAAAGTTTGGTTAGTTTCAATTTCAATTGTAAAGGAGGAGTGTAATGATGTTTTTCTATTTCAGAAATTGGTATTTTTATAGTTAAGAAATAACAGATTATCTGTTGGCTTGTGGATATGTGAGCTTGGCAGGTAGGAATTCTTTCTGGAACTTGGTCTTACTGTTTAGTATTATTTTTTCTTTTTAGATTTTTTTCTACAAATTTTATGATTTTCTAAATCAGATATAGGTATTTATTCAGTTTAAAGAATTGTGAAAACGGAAAATATTGGTTTGTGTTAGGTAATGTTCGGGTGGGACAAAATACCTATGCCACGTGTGATACAATTTTGGGTACTCAACGGTGTAACATTCAAAAAATAGTAAAATGTAGAGAAAAAAGTCAGATGGTTTATTATTTATTTTGTAAATTATTTTCAAAATTTTGCATACTGACCCTTTAATATATATGTTATTTTAATTATCTCCTTTCTACTGTAAATAACTTTATTGAGATAAGAATATATTGGTGTATGGTTTAAGATAATGGTGTCGGAGTATGGTGTCAGATAATGGTGTTCAGATAATGGTGTTGGTGCATGGTGTCAGATAATGGTGTTTATATGGTCTTAAAAGGTGAAATGCGTCATAAATGCACATTTTTCTACTTTCATTTCTAAAGTAGCATTAGATGTTTTCTCCCGGCTCCTACATTGGAGAATTTTAAGGAGGAGCTGTATCAATAATCCCGATTACAATACTCCAATATCGAAAAGTATCAGAAATCCCGATTACAAAACACGGGATTTCTGGGACATTTTCGTAAGGACCTCTGTCTTGAATTAAGGGACGATCTCATTATTACTGTTAGCGGGAAATACAAAAAAAATAATTGTGTTCTGGACCCTTCATGTAATCGTGATTTTCTGGTATTTTCCGCAAAAAGT